GGTTATAACAAAAATAAAGCCTTGTGAATAACAAAGAAAACCGTGTCAATTGAGAAATAACATCGTTTCCTTACCTCATAGTAGCCAGAGGGGTAAATATGCCCATGTTTATCGTACCACTCTAGATTCATCCGTATCCACTTGAACCTTTCCTTGCATTCCTGGTCATCTTTATTTGCATTGGTAAATGCTCTGATATCATCATCGAGATCAGGAGACAAAGGCATCTTGTAGTGATCTAGGATAGGCGTAGCATACACTTTTGTCCTGAAGCTTGAAAATCCGTTCCACCTTTCTGCCACTTTGTTGCAGCCATACCACACATTCATGTCATTCCTGAAGTCATTGCCTGCTTTGTCGGCTATTGTTAACATATTGTTTACCGTGTCCTTGTTTATTTGGATACTTCTGCAATGATCCAGGAAGGCCTTTTTAGCATCTTTGACAGTTTTGAAGTTTTCGTTGTCCACTGCTGAACCAACTGAGGAGGAGCGACCAAGCAAAGAGTTCGCTCTCTCAGCTTCATTTGCAACGCTATCTCTTTCGCATCGCCTCTGAACACAATAATGTGAAGAGCTTTCAAGGCGGAACTCTATGGCATTGGCAAGCTTGGTTCCCAAATTACACTGCTTTTGGTCAGGCCCACCATCTACCAATCTGTAGTTAAAAGGTCTAGGTTCGTTTTGAAGATAAACTTCGATGTTTTCGGTTCTTTTTGGAAAAAACATGCGTATGCCTTCACTCCCGAAAACCATCAGCTTTTCCTGGTTTGCTGTAATATCAGCAAAGGCAATGCAGAGATCTTCAGAAGAGTACTCGATGTTATCGGCTATCTCTAGCATTAAAGAGCACGCATGAGACTCTCTCATAAAAAGCGGCTTATTGCCAACGAAATGGTTTATCCATTCTGCAGTCATTTCTAGAATGTCTCCTAAACTTGATTTAAATTGCCCTTTATCTTCAGGTTCTACGTTTGGCGACACAAATTCACAGTAGATTACTCCATCCAAACTTTTTCTTAAAATACAAATGATGGAGGTTTTTGCACCATTTTCAAAACAGTACTCAAGGTTCGTTAGTTCTTTTTCTTCTAAATACTGTATCAAATCCTCCAACTGGTAAGGGGAGATGTCTTCAGCTGTATCAACCGTAACTCCATCGATTCCACTCTTAACCAATATAGATTTAACATTGATCAGGGCGTCATAACGGTCATTCAGCTCAAGCAAACTGACAGGTGGAAGAGGTAAATGAAATAGTTGCGAGCTGAGGACTCGAAGAATGTGTTCCAGCTTTAATTGCGACCTATCAATTAACTGGATTGGTTTTAAGATACCTTTCAGACGAATGTTGTTCCGCTCCACTGTATCAATCCAGTTGAGTAAAACTTCCAAAAGATAGTTAAGAGGTATTGAGTTTAGTGAAGTGTATGGAAAAGTCATCTTTTCTTTGGTTTCCTCATCGCCGTATTGTCTTAGCTGGAATCTCTCATTCACATGCATCAGTGCAGTTGAACTATATTCTTTTTTTGGACTTACCACAACAGCAACTTTACTCCCTACCCAGGAAATCCTTTGATTGCCATTATCTTTGTCAAAGATAATTGATTTCTCTAAAAATAAGTTGGTGTTAGGAAGAATCACATCCTTACTTTCATGATAGTCGTGATGAGGAAGTGTTTGTAAAATTGACATTGAAGCTTACCGTTTATTCCCCTTCGGTACATATTTGTGTTCTTCCTTCACCGGCCTCCAATTTTCTTCATCGTCGATGAAGTTCAGCCAAACACCACTTGCTCTAAAAGACTCCTTTGTACCAAGAACTACCGGATTTTTATTATCGGTGCTATTGATGGTAGAATAGCACCGAAGTCGAGGGAATGACGGACTAAACCTAAACATCTTAAATTGGTTCATTTTAACAAATGCCCTTGCATAATGTATATTGATTGGTGGAGGACCACTTCCCATCGTTGGCACTTTTCCGTACTTAATGGAAGCTTCTCCAACATAGTCTTTGCTTGCCGTTCGCCCTTTATGAGGAGCAAGACAACGTCTTTTAAGAGTTTTTTCTGAAACCTGATCCCAGCTCTCTTTTTCTGCGATGTTATTATGTACACTGGCCATTTTTTCCCCGGTGATTCTCTTGTCTTTTAGATCGTTTATGCTGGATGTATAATAAACATCAAAGTGCCGTCTTTGGTGCGTCAGCACACCAGAATCACTTTCCATGCTGGCCCTTTCTACTATTTCCTCCAGAACATTGGACTT